TAATGAACAAAATAAACTGATAAACAAAATAGATCCAGAGACATGGAAACATGGAACAGACTGACGAATCTCAGGGTGGGGGTGGGAAGAGATTAACCAAAGAACTTACATGCATATATGCATAACCCATGGACACAGTAGTGTGGTGAAGGCCTGGGGAGGGGATGGGAGTGGGGTGGAGGGAGCCAACGGGGGAAACAGAGGGGACATCTATAATACTTTCAACAATAAAGATACATTTAAAGAAAAAACACACAAACAACAACAAAAGAAAGCTAGTGGTTAAAAAGCTAGTATTATTATCTCTAAAGGACCTTCTTTGAGGAGTGTGTGATTCCTAAGAATCTCAGCTAGTTGGTCAAGAGAAAAGGGCAGAGAAGACTTTGTCACTAGCTGGCTTTTCCCAGGTTTCATTTTACATTTCAAGAGCCCTGTGTTCTAATATCACCCAACTGAAAAGAGACACTGTAGGCGTAATAAAGGTGGAGAGTAACAGAGATGAAACAGCTGGCACGTGTTGGTCACCTTTAAGAGCTCCCAAACTCCCTGGTATTCCAAAGAATTACGACATTTGTGATAATTCCGAAGGGTATAATCACTTTCTGGGAGAGAAGCCGCCGCGGAAACCAGGGAGGCAGCTACTATCCAACAAAGGGGTATCTGTTTAGCACCCCAAGGAAAACATTCAAATGACCCCTAAATCAAAACGGTGTAAGGTCATCGTCTTCTAATGAACTTAAAAATCTAGTACTTCTAAGATAGACTCTTGGCCCCGGTGCCATTGTATGTGACCTTGGAGAAAGCTCTTTTGAAGTTGCCTGTGTCTATAAAACCTGGATAATAATACTATCTGTCCCAGATGGTTGGAATTGTAGGAATTAATTAGTTCAAGCTAGAAAGGTCTTTGATAGTGTTAAGTGCTGAATATTGTTATTGTTAACGGTGCAGGTGGAGGCGATGTTTCACAGCACATCTATAATTAGAAAGGCCTAGAAACTGCAAATGGTGCCAACACCCCAGGAGTCCAGGAGACAATACCCCGTGTCATTTGCTCCCTGAGAAGTCGGCTTGTTATGACTGGATGCCTAATTCTGTCTTGTCCTCCTGGAAAGGTTGCAGCTTGTCTTGGACTTGCCCACCGTGGAGCATGGTTTAAGGTGCATACGGGTTTCAAGGCGGTTTTTTATATGAAGTGCCGACATTCTTGGTTCTATTGTGATGCTTGTGAGTTCATCTGAGTCAAGGGAGTAAGTCCTTCCCCAGAAATACCTGTCGTCTGAAAAACGCAGACAATTTCTTGATCTCTAAAATAAAGGGAGAGGTCTAAACTGTCTTTCGGAGGAGAAACCTTTCTTTTTTCCCCCCAAACACATTTTTAAAATCACAGTGTTATATGAAATCTGAATAGGTACAATAGATAAAAACTGAGCTCTGTGGAATGAAAGGAGAAAGAAGATCTTCATGTTCCCTCAAGTGACCCTGAGGCGCATTGTGAGAATCCAAGGCTCTCCTGAGCCCGGTCCCC